GAACTGGGGATTCAACTTAGGTCCTTGTGCTTGCCAGGGAAGCGCTTATTCCACTGAGCCATCTCCCTGGCCCCTTGGAGGTGTATATGTTTTAAAGACATTTGATACATTTACTAAATTATTACTAACTTTTTCATCTGAGATGTTTGCTCATATGGATTTGTGGGAACTTTTTAATATAAAAAGCCTAAGAGGGACTTCAAAAAAGTTATTATGAAGATTATTTTCTAGCACTTCATTGTGGTAAAATTTATATGTGGTGATACACCACTTTTGTTAAATGCTTTTGTTCATTTCTATTTGATTCCTTTTCTCTGTGTGTTTGAGCCAAATTTCTGCTACTAACCAGGAAGAAGTTCCCTTGACTTCCCTACTGATATGGAAGGGCCATGTGCTAGGAGTACTAGGCATTTGGACCTCCTAGTGTGGAGTATGGCCTTTGCTGTGTGGCCTGTGTGGGACGTGCGGCAGGAAGCCGAGCACCCAGGGCGCGCGGCACCTGCGTGCCAGGAACTTCCTTCTCGCTGGTGCTTCACGCTGCTTGGCAGCTGCTCTGCACCTGCTGCCCGCTTAGCCCCAGATGCATGCGTGGCCTGGCGGCAGTGATCTCCCTTTCCCTTTCCACACCAGGAACCTGTTAGCTGTCAGAGGACCCATTTGAGGGTTGAGCATCAGTTCGTACTTGCATTGTTTAATCTTAAAATTGCTTTCAGAGAATCTCAAAGATAATAATAAATCCTCTAGAAAAGAATTTAGGCCAGCCAGATAGCTCAGTAGACTAAAGCACCCACTTTGGCAGAGTGCAGCAGCCAGGGTTTGATTCCCAGTGTGCCATGCCAGCCCTGCCTGTGGGGCACGTGGAGAAGGCAATTGAGACTGGGTGGGCGTGGTGGTGTGTGCCTGTAAGCCCAGCCCTTGGGAGGCCAAAAACAGGAGAATCACTACGAGTCCAATCTATGTAGTGAGATCCTATACACTCTGTAGACCTGTCCTAAATTCATAAAAAAGAAAGAATAGAAAATAACTTAAAATGTAAAAGTTGCTTGTGAGTGGTACCCTGTCTCTAAAGCCCAGGTCTGAAGGCAGAACTTACCCTGGTCACATTCTTCATCCCAACTGCTAGAGAGCCGTGGCTTCCGTGTTGGCCAGTGATAGTTTCTGCTCCTAGCATCTCAGAGACCATAGAACTCCATAAAGATTAAGCTTTAATGTGTATATGTTTTTACTTAAAAATAAATTCACAGCAAGCAACAAAACAAACAAAAAGATCTTCCAGGTCTTTGTGCTTTGTCTAGCTCCATCCTCACGTCTCTGTTTACACCTGTTCTGAAAACTGAGCCCAGAACAGGCTAACCTGGCCTCTTGCCTAGGAGCAGCGTGTTCTTACCATGTAATCACTTCCTCTTCTTTTTGTAGGTTGACTGTTGCAGACTCAGATGGGGCCACCAACTCCACGACCGCCACTCTAATCGTCAACAGTGCTGTGGACTCCCCGCCTGTTGCCAATGCAGGATCCAATCAGACCATCACCTTGCCCCAAAATGCCATCACCCTGAATGGAAACCAGAGCAGTGATGACCACCAGATTGTGCTCTATGAGTGGTCCCTGGGCCCGGGCAGTGAGAGCAAAGAGGTGGCCCTGCAGGCAAGTCCCCCCGCCTGATGCAGACTTTTCGTTGTTTGTCTTACCTGTCTGTCTGTCTGTCTGTCTGTCCATCCGTCATCCATCCATGTATGTTTTCTCTCGGTTTTATATTGATTTGGGGGCAGTTATAAAAAAAAATATGTTTTGCAACGTTGTTTGTTAGATGATTAAGCTAACAGAGAAGCAACTGAACACACAAATCTAAATTTACCATATGTCCCTTTCCCACCCTTAATCAGACAAGCACAGAATCCCAACCAAGTGAGCCTCTGTTAACAGCTAGATCTTGAAATCATGTCCAGGAAAATCTGATCCAGTAACTGTTGGACAACTTGAAAGAACCTTAGAAATAATGTAACCTAAATCTCATTGTAAGAGAATTATTTTGTTTTTCATATTTTAATATTTATTTATTTGGTTGTTGCTATTGTTTTGAGGCAGTGCAAGGTGACCTTGCGCTCATTATGGAGCCCAGGCCGGCTTGAACTTGCAGCCATCCTTCTACCTCAGCCTCTTGAATGCTGGGATTGCAGGTGTGTGCTGCCATACCTGGTCTTGTTTCCCCTGTTTTAGAAACTATGTTATCTTATTTCTCTGTCTCACTTTTTTCTTTTCTGAGGATTAAACCCACAGTTGTAGCCCTGAGTTATACCCATAGATTTTTTTAATATTTTAATTTTGAGTCAGGGCTTGTTAGATGGCTAAGTTGTCCAGGCTGAACTCAAACTTGTGATTCTCCTGCCTCAGCTTCTCACAGTGCTCACACTGTAGGCGTGCAACACGCCCCTCAGCTCTAGTGAATTCTTAAGAGTTTCTTTATAGTTTGACTTGTTCAAGCTTTTTTTTTTCCAAGCTTTTATTTGTTAATACTTACTAATAACTTTGAAACCTTTGCCTGTGTGTACGTATGTGTGAGCTATTTACTTATACTTTGTGACATCTATCACAAACACTTGAGATAATCAGCTTATACAGAGAAATTGTTTATTTGGGCCCACAGTGTCAGAGGGCTCAGTCTGTGGTCATTTGGCCCTGTGGGGAGACAGTGCATCATGTAGGAACCAGGTGAAGGAGCCACTTAGCTGTGGTAGCCAGAAGTAAGGGGAAGACGAAGCCACTGGGTGCCTCGGTCCTCTTCAAGCGTAGCCCCACAACCAGAAGACCCCCCACCAGGCCCTTCGCTAAAGTGCCCATGGCCTTGATCTCAAGTCCTGAAGAAAGAAGTCTGAGAAGGGGAGGGCGAGAGAGAGGGGGGAAGGGATGAAGGGGTATGTTCTTTTAAAGTTCTTAATTCTGTTTTTTTTTTTTTTTTCTGTCTTCTTGAGACAGGGTCTCACTTAGCAATTCAGACAGGCCTGGAGCTCATTTTGCAGTCTAGGCTGGTCTTGAACTCACAATAATCCTTTTGCCTCAGCTTCCTGAGTGCTGGAATTACAGGTGTGTGCCACCATGCCTGGTTTAAAAGTCTGCTCTTGTGACAAAACAGTTGATTTATCAACTTCCTATGTCAATTTTCTATCAAAACTTCGAGAAGTAGCATGTAGATAGATTGTCTGAAAACAATATTGAGATCTGTAAAAGTAAAGAAACTGTAACAGGATTTCCAATTGAAAGGCTCTTTTGGTGTCATGGACTTTAAGCATAAGCAGTAGTTGGAACTATTACCACCACCAATGTAGCAGCAACAGGAGGGAGGGAGGGAGGGAGAGGAAGGATTTTTGCCTCAGAGTTTACGAAAGTAATACACAAACAAAAAAGTAGGACCAAAAAATTGTGCAAATTAGTTCTGGTAAGGTAAAAATATCTTGACCACCAGTGTCTTCCATGTCTCTGCCTAGAGATAATACCTTAGCTCATTTTTATTTTTATTTTTTTATTATTTATTTGTGTGTGTGTGTGTGTGTGTGGCCAGCTCAGCCCACCAGGGGGCGGGGCTGGCTGGCATGTGGTGCTGGGGGATTGAACCGCGGTCCCTGTGCTTTGCTAAGCTTGTTCTAAGTAGGTGCTTTAGACCACTGAGCCATCTCACCAGCCCCCTTAGCTCATTTTTAGATGTGTGCTGTGGAATCCTTTCTGTATGTGTGTGTGTGGGGTATTTGTGCAGCCATATCTGTCATAAGTATATGAATTGTTCTGTACTTGTTTTGCTTACCATTTTTTTCATGTTAGTATCTATAAAGCTACCCAATTATTATTATTATTATTATTAATTTTTTAAGGGAAGGGTCTATAGGGTGTTCAGGGTCTCACTACTAGATTGGACTTGTAGTGATCTACCTGTTTACAGCCTCCCAAGAGCTGGGATTACAGGGGTGTACCACCACACCCAGTCTCAATTGCTGTCTCAGTGCAGCGCATCCCAGGGGGGCAGGGCTGGCACGGCAGGCCCGGGGATAGAACCCCTGGCCCTTGCACCTGCTTGCAGGTGCTTTTAATCCACTGACTATTTGGCCGACCCTACCCGATTATTTTAAGCATCATTATTTACTGGTCCGCAAGGGTGAACTCAAACCCTGTATATGCCATCCCCGTGCTGTACCTGAGACACACCTCAGTCCAAACTTGTTGCTTTGATACCTACCACCTTCCACAGTGTATCCCAGGAATTTAGCCCCTCTCTTGATGGGCATTTCGTCCTTTTCCATTTCTCACTGTTACAGACTGCCTCAGTCTGCTTCACATGCAGCGAGCCAACTGTACATTTCTTAGAGGAGATACTGACAAGGGGAGTTGGTGGTTCTCATTTTGACTTTAATATCTGTTGCCATATTGGTTTCTGAAAAGACTGTATGAACTTACATTCCATCAGTACTGTGAGGCCATGTGGTGGAATTGAAATTGCATTTTGCTGGTAGCCACATAGTCCATCCTCAGGCATGGTCCCTGTACGGAGTAAAATCATTGCTTTGCCGTGAGCTGTGCTTTTTACTGGCTGCTTTCACACTGCTTTTTTCTTTCCTGTCGCCTGCACTTCCTCAGGGAGCAGGGACCCCGTACCTGCACGTGTCTGCAATGCAGGAAGGCGAGTACACGTTTCAGCTGATAGTGACAGATTCTTCAGGACAGCAGTCCACTGCAGAGGTCACCGTGATTGTCGAGCCTGGTAGGTGAGATGGAGATGTTGAGATTTGGTCCCTGAGACGAAATAAAGGGGCCTCTGGGCTTCAGATCCATCCAGCTTCCTGCTCCTGTCTCGGGGCTGTCAGCAAGCCAGGCCATGAGAGATCAGCCCACTGCGTGTAAGCGCAGTGTTCTGTGGGGGTTCTGAGTCCCATCTGGACGGGGTCTCTAAAACTGTGGCAAGAGGAACACAATGAGAAACGCCCTGAGCACCGCTAGTGTCCTTGTCCCACTGTATGACAGCAAGCCCCAGGGAACCCCACGGAGGCTGCTAGGTGCAGCCTGACATTGGGGTGCGGGCAGGCTCTGCTCAGTCTGCTGCAGAGCCATGGAAACCCTCCCCCTGCCCAGCTCAGACTGCAGGAGCCTTCTGGGCAGCCAGGACTGGGCTTCCCCTTGGGCTTTGTTTAGAGCCGTTCTACCAGATGCCTGCTATTCTTGTGTTCTGTGGTGGGAACAGCCTCCACCTAGAGGTGGCTCATATATTTATTTATCTAACATTTATTCAGCTTTTGTTAAAACAAAACACTTTTTAGTACTGTAGCAGTGGCTGCCACAGATTTTGACTAGCTGACTTGTTTTTTAAGACAAAAGTTATATCTATTTGTATCAATAACACTATAAGTAACACTTTTTTTTTTCTTTCTTCAACATTTAACCAAAATTATTTGAACATTTGCTATTTACTAGGCAGTGGGGCTACAAAGATGACGTGAAGTCCTCCCTCCCTGACAAAGCCAGTCTCTGTACATCAATGTCCATTACTTCCTGTCCTCCGTTTTTCTTCCACTTCTTGTGTGCTTCTCCCTTCCCCCCTGTCCTGTCTGACTCCTGAAGGTTTTATAAAGACCCAGACTCAGGCCCAGGAGATAGCTTGGCAGTCTACATGTTTGCCTAGCAAGCACAAGGACCCGGGTTCGATCCCCAGTACCATATGTTGTGCTGGCTCTGCAACAGGGCTGGCCACCAAAACAGGGCGTGGTAGTGCACACTTATAATCCCAGCTCTGAGGAGGCTGAGACAGGAAGATCACTACAAGTCCCAGCTGCATAGCGAGACCCTGTACCAAATAAATAAATTAAAAAAAAAAAAATCCCAGCCTCATGTGCAGCAGGGCTCGGTGCCTCTTGCTGCCTCTGACCAGGGTCCTGTCTCGGAATATTCCACCCTTGACTGAGCTGGAGAGTGTCGTGTTTCACCCCAGGGTTCCCAGTGGACATGGTTCCCTAGCAGCTGCCTGGATTCAGTATGGATAATTTGCATTTAACTCAAGGAATTGAGACTGCAGTCTGCATGCAAAGGGGCAATCCCTTCTCATGCTGTTTCTGCACTCCTAGAAGACAACAGGCCTCCAGTGGCTGTGGCTGGCCCTGATAAGGAGCTGATCTTCCCGGTGGACAGTGCTATCCTGGATGGGAGCAGGAGTAGCGACGACCACGGCATTGTCTTCTACCACTGGGAGCACGTCAGGTAGTGTGTCCCCACAGCTGCTGTGTTCCTGATGGCAGTTGAGTGCCATACCCCTTCTCTGCAGGTTGAGGCTGAACATTCCACTTGAGCTGCTCAAGATTTAAGTACATTTCTAGAAGTGACTGGGCATGATGGGAAGAATATGTAAAGTGTGGACAGGTGAGATGGGCTTCCATTGACAGCAGAAGAGGTGGGCAGACGAGTGGACGGGCACTTCGGGATGAGTGATCCTCTCTAGACCACAGCAGCCTGTCCTGCAGGGACTGTAGACAGCAGAAATGCAGGGCTTAAAGGGGTGCTCTCCGAACTCCATAGCTCAGTGTGATAGCAGCCTACATCTACTGTTTAACAGACGTGCTAGTCCCATTTCCTTTTTAAAGTTGAAAAACCAAGGCTTGTAGAGACCAGTGAGATCATAGGGCCTAGCCTCCCAGACAGGAAGAGAAGGGGCCAGGGCGCGCTCGTGGGGCTTTCTTATTCCCCAGCCTATAATGTGTGACTCTTCTGTAATTCTCTTTACGAGATGCCTGGGTCATTCCCCGTCCTCAGTACCCCAGCTGAAGATACATACGGAGTTAGCCTGATATTCTTCAAAGAAATAGGAGTAGTTACTAAGATTCAATTTTCCAAAGATAGATCATTTCACTGACAGCCCAATTAAAAAAAAATTAAAAACAAGCAAAAATCTGGAGGTAAGCGGGGTTGGCCTTTCACAGGCTCTGGCTTCTGACTGCTGGGCTGAGCTAGAGCATACAAGTAAAGAAAGAGTCACCCTAGAAGGGTACTTGTGAGCGCACGAACCCCGGGCCTGACACTTGCACAGCTCCCTGCCCCTCTTTTTGGTATCACTTCTGTGTTTCATTCATAGAGGCCCCAGCGCAGTGCAAATGGCAAACAGAGACACAGCAGTGGCCACGGTGACTGGCCTCCAGGTGGGTACCCACCACTTCCGGTTGACAGTGAAGGATCAGCAGGGACTGACTAGCACATCCACCCTGACCGTGGCCGTGAAGAAGGGTGAGTGGCCCCAACCTGAGGAGGGCTTGGCCTACTCCACCGTATGCCAGGCTGCTGTATTTAAAGATGTCGGTAACTGTTTGCTGTTTGCTTCTTCCTAGCAGAGGCTGAACTCTGCTTAATCCAGAAGTGCAGCCGTCTTCTACTCCTGTGAGCTGTTGTCAGATCAGCTTGCAGAGAGACCCTTTCCTTCTGTTTGTGAAGTGCATATTCTTTTTCTTCTTCTTTTTTTTTTTTTGTGGAACCGGGAATTGAACTCAGGCCCTTGCACTTGCCAGGGAAGCGCTTATTCCACTGAGCTGTCTCCCCGGCCCCAAAGTGCATCTTCTAACAGCTCTACTTCCCTCCCAGTGGTGACTAAAGGTCCATGTCCCTGCGACACTGTCGTGCTTTGCTCTCTGCCTGCCTGGGAAATTCAAGAGCAGAAATGTTTTCAAGTTCTGTATTGTTGCTTAATGTGAAATTTGTTGGGCCTATGCGTGCAGTTCTGCTTTGGATCTTTGCCTCCTTGTCTGCACTGAGAGCTCTCCAAGGTCCATGGTCTCAGACATTTCTCTGTCCTCCATGTAGCATAGAACTGGGCCCCCGGCAGGCCATACTTGTGGGTCAGTCGAGTGAAGGAATAGATGAGGACTGCCGTGCGCTTAGGCACAGCGAAGTGAAGCGTGTGGCTGATGAGAGACTCACACGCTAGGTGCGGGGACAGCGGGAGGCTCCTGGGCACTGAGGCTGAGCTTGCAGTGGCCCTGCAGCCTGGCCTCTCCCCTGGGCCGTTAGGGGAGGCTGAGGCCACTTAATCAGCAAGGAGATAGAGATTTGGGTTTTCCCCTCACACATATTATTGCTGAAAGATGTGAGCACACAGGACTGTCCCGAGTACAGTCTTAACAGCATCAGTCGCCCATCATCTGCCTTTAGCAGCAATCTCTATGTGGGCCAGTCTTGATTTGTTTATCAATTCATAGTTTATTTTGGTTGGAGCATTTTAAAACAACTTTTTACGTTTTTAGCTATAAGGTTTGGATTTCTAGAGACAAAATGGGCCAGGTATGTGGCTCAGTAACAGAAAATAGGCTGAGAGTACGTTAGAGCTTATCACCACACATGCACATGTGCATGCACACACACACACACACACACACGCGCGCGCGCACACACACACACACACACACACACACAGAACCGACGTAAAAAACACAACAGACTGAGGAGAAGAGAGGCCCAGTAGGGAGCATAGTTAGAAGGCATTTGCAGAGCATTTGAGGCCAGTAACGGAAAACAGGGAGAAAAGGGATAGATGGGAAAGGAAAGCCGGTTGAGAGCCCCAAGTCTCCGGACTTGGGAACCTGATAGATTCGGAGGCTCAAGAGGGCACGTGAGAGAGGCCCAGCAGCTCTGACTTCAGCATGCGCACAGATGGCGTGAGGGTCTCAATTGTGTTTACAGAAGAGTAGATTTGGGAGCTAACATCTGGCCTTGGAATATATTGAATCCACACCACAAGAGCCTCGGAACCGCATTCTAGAATTTGACACCTCTAAGACAGAAGCAAGTGGGGTCCTCAATTCTGTTGTGAACCCGCATGAGTGCAGACTGAGCAGAGGACTTTGGGGTTCAGTTTACTTCTTAGATTTCCTTGAATTAAGCCTCGTTATCACTAGATCAGTCATGGCAAACCTTTTAGAAACTGAGCTTCCAAACTATAGCCCAAGCCAGCTTTCATCATAAAGCGCCATCTGTCCCTGCATACACTGTTGTCAGACACTTGGCTGCTGGGCCAGGCTGGGTGACTTGGCTCATCTGCCCACAGAGAAAGCTCTACGGCCTCCACATCACAGGGGCCACAGGCTTGCCATTGCTGTACTGCCTTCTGCTGTGTGCCCCCAAACCTACCTCTGGGGGCTGGAGAGATGGCTCAGTGGTCTAAAGCACCTACTTAGAATAAGCTTAGCAAATCACAGGGACCACGGTTCAATCCCCAGCACCACATGCTGGCCAGCCCCGCCCCCTGGTGGGCTGAGCTGGCCACACACACACAGACACACACACACACACACACATTAAAAAAAAAAAATCCTACCTCTGATGGAATGTGGTAAATGTCTCTGCTTGTGTGGTATTGGGTCAGGAACCCCAAGCCTAGCACATGCAAAGCAAGAGCCCTGCTCTTGAGCTGCACCCCAGTCCAGGAAGTGGAAGATTGGGAGTAGCTCCAGTGATCTCTGTCCCAGCCCCGCAGTGTCTGTGCTGATGGTGATAAGGACTGGGGACTGGGGAGTGTGGGATGGCAATGAGCCCTAGGAGGCTCACTGGGCTGTTCCCAATGTTTTCTGTCACTTGCCTCGTTTTTCAGGAGAATCTGGGTCACAGAGCCCTCCCTGAGCAAGTGGGAGCTCCCTCATTTCCACATGGGGGCTGTGTTTTAGTGACCCCCTGATTCTGGTGTACCTAGTCCTGCTCCGTGCACTCCTGGTGCCTTTCTCCTCATGGCATTATGCTAGAAATGGCCTTTGCATGGCCTCATTTATTCTAACCCCTCAGACGTGTGAGTGTCTAATTTTTAAAACTAATTTAGCAGCACTAGCTAAATTATTTCAGATGGTATGGGCCAGTAATCTATGACCCAGAGTGTCATTTCTTATAGATAATAGTATGTGTATGTTTTGTTTTGTTTTTCAGCACTGGGGATTGAGCCCAGAACCTTCACAATGAGCCCTTTTTTATTTTTTATTTTGAGACAGTCTTACTAAGTCACTATTTTGCCTAGGCTGGATCTGGGCTTGTGATCCTCCTGCCTCAGGCTTCCAGAGGGTTGGCATTATAGACATGTCACTACATACAGCTGAGAGTATATATTTTTATTTTATTTATTTATTTTGGTGGTATTACGTGTCAATCCCAGCCTTACACATACTAGGCAAGTACCCTTAGCCATTCCTGGCGTATTTAAATACTTTTAAATAAAAGTATTTCCACTTATAAACACTGAACAGAAAAACATTGTTTGTTTTTTTTTCCAAGGAGAGAAAAACTATAACAATATTAGAAGAATTCCCAATGTCCAGGCTATTACCTGCTTTACCTTTTTTTTTTTTTTAATTCCAAATTATACTCAGCTAAACATGGAGCTTTAATAAAGTCCATATTATTTTACAGATACTTGGGCCAAAAAATAACATCTTTTTTTAATTTTAATTTTATTGAGAAACAAATATGAATGAGACATTTTCAAAGCTGATTAATAGGGCAGTTTCGATATAAAAATAATGTCTTATAAACATGTCAAATTTACATATCCACAAGAGGGAATTCTCATGGGTGTTGACACAGGTTCTATCACCAGTGTTTTATTTTTTAATTTTTTTTTTTAGTCTTCATATTTGTTTATTACTGAATAAAGCCATGAACAAAACAGTTATATCTTCCTTGATGTTAAAAGGGATTCCATTATGCAGGATAAACTTAAAAGCCCAAGAAAAGCTCTATGACACATCACCCCAAAGTATCTTACCACTGAAATTCGAGTTTCTCAGATGCTCCTGATTTTTCACTAATTATCTCAGTCCATCTGGTACTTAAAGACAAAAGAGGTCCTAATTTAAATGACTTAAAAGGCAACAAACTAAAAAGAATGTGGTAGAAATATTATCACCAGTGTTTTAAATCAATTTCTTTGCTTTCATTTTTGCTATATTTGACTTAGAAAATAATAGTCCTCCCAGAGCCCAGGCTGGTGGCAGACATGTTCTTGTGCTTCCCAATAATTCCATTACTTTGGATGGTTCAAGGTCTACTGATGACCAAGGAATTGTGTCCTATCTGTGGACCCGGGATGGCCAGAGTCCTGCAGCTGGAGTGAGTACTCACAGGGAATCACCCCCATCTGCTTTTGTGCGTTTGTATCAGTTAGCTTGGGCTGTCCCAGCAAAATGTTCGGGGATGGATGGCTTTAATAGCAGGAAGGAGGCCAGAAAGGTAAGGCCAAGGTGCTGGGCTGTTTCTGTTTCTGGTGAGGCCTCTCTTCCCAGTATTTCCATTTCCCATGAGGCCTTTCTTCCCAGTATTTCCATTTCCCAGGAGGCCTTTCTTCCCAGTACTTCTGTTTTCCATGAGGCCTCTCTTCCCAGTATTTCCGTTTCCCATGAAGTGTCTCTTCCCAACTTGCAGATGGCTGCTTTCTCACCATGCACTGGCCTGGCAGGAACAGAGAGAAGGTGGAGATACTAGCTCTCATCCCTGTTCCTATGAGGATAGTTGTCCTATCGGGTCAGACCCATTCTTGGGACCTTAGTGAACCTGTTGCCTCCTTATACACCTGTCTTAGGGTGTGACCCTGGGAGGTGAGGGACACACTGTGGTCCAGAGTAAAATTTCCAGTAGGCCCTCCTCTCCCCATGAGGGTGGTTGTGTTCCTGTATTGCAGTGTTTTGAGGGCTGACAGCCACAGGCTGCTGTCAGATTTAAGGACTGTTGAGGTCCTTTTAGAGTTTCCCATGCCCAGACTCTGGAGGGGGCAGCATTTCATGGCCAGGAGGAACTGTGAAGCCAAGCTTTCTAGTGGGAAGTGTTTTGCTCATTAGTGGTTGGTCCTATTATGGTCCAAGTGGGTTCTTCCTTCTTCCTGAATTATATAGATAAGTGTGAAGGCCAGGGATCACTGTGTCAGTCCACTTCCCAGGTGTGCACAGTGAAATACAGAGATGGAAAGTGACTTTGTCAGGGTGAATGAACTTATTCTTAACCCAAACAGTGGCAGGGCTTTAGCTTTAGGACCCCATTATATCCCTCTGCCTCTTATGCTGCGAGTTCAAGTACAACTCCCCTTCTGTTGCTGCTGCTAAGGACTTGAGATCTGTGAGTACCCTTGGAGGTGGACATTAGGGGGAGCACAGGACAGGAAGTGCGGAGGCATCGTGCTGTCTAAGGTGCTTCTAGAATTAATCCATTCAGATAGATGGTAGATTTGCTTGTAGCTGTAATTATAATGGGTCTCCAATCAGAGCCTTGATGTTTTACTTCGTAATTCTGAGACAGGGTCTAAGTAAGTCCTTGAGTTGCCCAGGTCCGGCACAAACTTGTGAAGGCCTAGCATAAAAACCTTGCTTTGTGTTCCTCTCCTATCACATTCGCACATTCAGAGCAGGAAATGAGAGCTTCTTCTCATTCTTCGGAGGATGGAGGTCCACGGAACAGTGACTTTCTCCCCAGGCTTGTGATTCATTTGAAAGGGTGAATATGAAATGTTTGGAGGAGACCCAAAATGAGAGAATTATAAGCTTGTGTCTGATAATAAGACCCATGCAACCCACACCTCAGCCTAGGAGTCCTTACCCCAGTCCAAGCTCTCCTCTCTCCTGGATGAAACTAGTCATCCAGTAATTACCAGAAAGTGCGTGGTGACTCTGCTATGGGAGCAGCAAGGCCTCGCGCCGAGCGCCACAGGGAGGAGGTGCCCCAGGTCACTCCTAGCCCCTTCTGCCTCCCTGACAGCAAAGACTGGCACTGAGGTTTGGGAGCAACAGAAGCTGGGATGCTGTGTCTGACAATTGCTTGTGAATGCTGTTATTTCACAGGATGTCCTCGGTGGCTCTGACCACAGTGTGGCCCTGCAGCTTGCCAATCTGGTGGAGGGTGTCTACACTTTCCGCCTGCGAGTCACCGACATGCAGGGTGCCTCAGACACAGGCATCGCCACTGTGGAGGTGCGGCCAGGTGCGTTCATGGGCTGTGAGCTCCCCTGACATTATGGCCCAGCATGGAGACCTCCCATGGTGGAGGGCCGTGATGTCCCCATGTGACCAGCTGGGTGGTGCCCATGGCGCCAGGCACAGAGCTTCCCTCTGGGTATTGGGGAGTGAGGGGCCAGAGCTTGAGGTTGGTGCAGAGGCTAATTAGACACATTGGATATCTGCTGGGGAAAAAAAAACAAAAACAAAAAAACAGAGATCAAACTGAGGCAAAACAAGAACGTCCCCAGATAGAGACTCCCGCCCAGCATGTTGAGAGGAGCCTCCCCCAACAGCCAAGCCTTGCAACTGCATGGGATCATTCTGAGCCCAGTGCAGGCCTTGTTCCGCACCTTGCCATTTGTGAGCTCCAAAGCAATCCTGCACCTCCCCTTTTGCAGACCCCAACAAAGGTGGCCTGGTGGAGCTCATCCTGCAGGTGGGTGCTGGGCAGTTGACGGAGCAGCAGAAGGACACCCTGGTGCGGCAGCTGGCCACGCTGCTGGGCGTGCTGGACTCGGACATTAGGGTGCAGAAGATCCAGGCCCACTCGGATCTAAGGTGTGTATGGGCTGCCTGACCTAGGCAGGACCCCAGCCCCAGACTTCCGCTCTTGCCACATCCCGGTGGTTAGCAGTGCACCACCCACCTCTCTGCTCGTACTTGTGCACACCTTTATCCATACCTTTTGTAGGCTTTTCTTTTCCTTTTTCTTTTCTGAAAAGAAAGAATAAGGATAGTGTTATTCTAAGCCCTTTCATCAAGTTTGGTAAATGCTTGTTGATTGCGAATGAAAAATAAAGGACTTGGGGAGCAGGGAGGGAGCTGACGTTTTGCCCTGGTGTTATTAGAAGGTATGGCAATGGCCTGGGGCCTGTGAAGACCAAATATCATTGCCAGACTTTATCTCTTGTCCCTGATGCAGGATCAAAGGGACCAAAGTGTCTTTTTTTTTTTTTTTTTTTTTTTTTTAATGTATTTGGTGCAGAGTCTCAGTACACAGCTCAGACTCATAGTGATTCTCCTGTTTTCAGCCTCCCCAGTGCTGGGATTACAGGTGTGAGCCACCATGTCTGGTCTTGGTGGCTGGCTTAGCGGACTTGGGGGCGGGGCTGGGGTGGGGCTGGCAAGGCATGTGGTACCAGGGATTGAACCCCAGACCCTGTGCTTGCCTAAGCAGGTGCTTACTCTGCTGAGTGATCTTGCCAGCCCTTGAAGTTTCTTTCAGTGTGAAAGGTTCGTGCTTTCCACTTGCTGTTTTCTGGGAATACATGAGTGTGAAACTCTGGCCTTTAATTCTTTTAAGATTTTTACATTTCTGGATGCGCTCCTGTAATCTCAGCACTCAGGAGGCTGAGGCAAGAGGATTGCTTTCTGTCTGAGGTCAGTCTGAGGCCAGCCTGGGCTGCATAATGAGTTCAAGACCGACCTGAACTACCCAGCAAGACCCTGTCTCAAACAACAGAAACGAAACAGTGGAAAGGTTTTTGCACCTAAGTTTTTTGTTTGCTTTCTTACCTGCCTAGGTGGGGTAGGAGGAGAAGGTGAGTGGGGAATGAGTGTCTGCCCTTCACAGACACAGCCGCGCCACCGTGAGCTCTTGCCAGCCTTCCTCGTTAGTGCAGTTTTCCAGAGAACTGAGATCTACTTACAAAAACAGCAAACAAAACCACATTCAATGATTGTTATTATTTTGTGGTGCTGTGGATTGAACTCAGGGCCTCGCACATACTGGGTGAACACTCTTCCCCTGAGCTCGGTGTCCAGCTCACTAATAGCTTTTATGGAACTCATTCTAAAGTGGGCCATACAGTTCTCTCTCTTTTTATCTTCTTACTAGTGCATGTCTGTCTACATAATTATTACATTCCTTGTAGGAAACTAGAACATGTGTATAACACTTCTTAATTCTAGTTTTTTGTCCCTTGCTCCCCTCTTGCCTGTCTCTTACTCCCCTCCCCATTTGCAAAAGTTCAACCTCACTGTTTCCTACTATTATTTTGCTCTTTAATTTATTTATAATTTGGGTTTTTTATATGAAAGAAACATGTCGTATTTAAGCTTGTGTGTCCAATTTATTTTACTTAATGTTATGGTCTCATGGCCCATTTATTTCCTCACAAAGAACTGGAGTATATCCTTCTTTATGATGGAGTAGTACTCACCCCATGTAAATACCACCTTTTTCTTCATTCACTTGTTGATGGATACAGAAGACGCTTTGAAGACTTAGCTGCTATGAGTTGTACTGCTATAGACATGGGTATGCATGCATCACTATTATGTGATGTCTTTGACGTGGGAGGATACATAGAAGCTGGGTGTGGTGGTGCTCCTCTGTAACCCAGCACATGGGAGGCTGACGCAGGAGGATCACCATGAGTTCAAGGCCAGCTTGTGCTACATAGTGACTTCTAAGCCAAGTTGGACTACACTGTGAGAATTTGACTTAAAACAAAAACAAAAACATGATACCTGGGAGAGGAACAGCTGGGTCAACTGGAATTTCTATTTTTGGTGTTTTGAGGAATTTCCATACTGATGTTCATAGTGGTTGTACTAGTATAAACTCCCGCCAACAATGTAGAAGAGTTTCTTTTTCTCACATAGCCTACTCAGCATTTTTATTGTTTGATTTCTTCAAAATAGGCATTTCTTCTAGAGTAAGATGAAATCTCAGTAGGTTTCAGTAGGCATTTCTCTAATGGCTAGCAGTGCTCAACACTTTTTCATGCTTCTGGAAGTGTTTGTTCATTTCAACAGCCCACTTACTGATTGAATCTTTTATTTTGAGGGTGCTCATTTTTTTGAGGATTTTTTATTTGGAGGAATCTAATTTTTGAGAAGTCTGATAATTGTAAATATCAGTCCTGAGTACATGGTGCAGCTGGAAAAAATTTCCCCATTCTCTAGGTTGCCTCATCAGTCCACTGATTGTTTTCTTTGTTTTTTGAAGCTTTTAAATTCAGTATGATCCCATTTAAAATTTTTTTTAATTATTTTTTTTTCCTAATTAGATACTTGGTGCAGGGTTTCACTACACAGCTTGGACTTGTAGTGATCCTCCTGTCTCAGTTTCCCCAGTGCTGGGATTATAGGTGTGCACCACCATGCCCAGTTTTGGTGGCCAACACAGCTTCCAGGACCAGCATGGCCTGCAGTACTGGGAATGGAACCTGGGTCCTTACACTTGCCAGAAAGGCTCTGAAACCTCTAAGCTATATCCCTGCTCCTTATTTTAATTATTAAAAATCTTTCGTTTATTTATTTGGTACAGGGTCTCACTGTGCAGCTCAGACTCGTAGTGATCCTCCTGTCTCAGCCTCCCCAGCGCTGGGATTACAGGTGTGTGCCACAATGCCTGGTTTTTCATTTGTTGATTCTTGATGTTATTTCTTATGCCATTGGGGTTGTGTTCAGAAAGTCCTTGCCTATGCTTATGTCTTCAAGAGTTTTACCTATTTTTCCAGCAGATTACATATTTTTGTTTTAGTACTTAGGTCTTCAATCCATTTTTATTTTAGTGTGCTACATGGTGAGATTATGGGGTCTGGATTCGATCTTCTGCATGTATTTAGTCAGTTGTCCCAATATCATTTGTCAAAGGGCTGCTTTCCTTCAGTGTGTTTCAACTTCTTTGATAAAGATCAGATGGCTGAGTGTTTCTGCATCTCCTGTTCTGTTCCATTCCAGATCTGAGCATCTGTTTTTGTGCCAGTACCACGCGGTTCTTATCACTGGAGCTTTGTAGTACAACTTGAAATCCAGGGTTGTGATGTGTTCTGTGCTGTTGTTGCCTGGAATTGTTTTTACTTTCTGTGTCTCTTCTGGTCACACATGAATTTTAAGAATTTTTAAAGGATTTTTTGCAAATTGTAAGAAATAATGTTGGTATTTCAATTAGGATTGCAATAAATCTGCACATCAGTTTTGGCACTATGGCCATTTTGACAATATCAGTACTTCTTTTCTTAGTTGGTATTTTTTTTTATTATTATTATTGCTTCAGTTTCATTGCCTGTTACTATATTACTCAGGGTTTTTATATCTCCTGGTTCAGTTTTAGAAATTCCTATGTATTTAAGAATCTCCATTTCCTCTGGCTTCTCCAATTTATTAGTATATGGGTTTTCAAAGCAGTTATTAGTAATATGGATTTTGGCAGCCTCTGATTTAATTTTTTTGTTTTCATTTCTAATTGTATTGATTTGTATCTTTCCTTTTTTTTTTTTTTGTAAGATTAGCTAAGGTGTTGTGTATTTTGTTTATTCTTTTGGAGAACCAGTCTTTGATTCATTAATTCTCTGAATTTTTTAGTCTCAATTTCATTAACTTTAGCTCTGCTTTTTAAAATTTCCTTCCTTGTACTACTTTGTGTTTGGATTGTCCTGGTTTTGCCAGGATGTTGAGGTGCATTGCTAGGTTATTTGAGCTTGCTCTGCGTTTGTGATGTGGGCATTCATAGCTATGTATTTCCCTCTTGATCTTGCTTGCATTCTTTTGCATAGGTTCTGGTATGTTGTACTGGTATTATTTGATTCTAGGAACTGTCTAATTTTTTCCTTGATTTCTTCTGAGACCCTTTGATTATTCAAGAGGGTATTAGTTAATTTGCATTTATTTGCATAATTTCTATGTTTCCTTTTGCCATTGATTTATAGTTTCATTGTGCTATACTCTA